AGTGTTGTGGGTTTTAGATTTCCAACATGTGTATAGGGGTATCTCATTGTTTTTTGAACTTGCAATTTCATATGATGTTGAACATTTCTTTATATGCTTATTTGCCATCTTTGTTTCTTCTTTGGTGAGGTGTCTGCAGATTTTTTGCCCATTTAAAAAAATTGTGCTGTTTGTTTTCTTATTGTTGAGTTTTATAAATTCTTTGTGTATATTTAATACCAGCCCTTTATCAGATACTAGAGGCCCAGTGCATGAAAATTCATGCACTGAGGGGGGTTACCTCAGCCCAGCCTGCCCCCTCTCACAGTCTTGGAGCCCTCAGGGGTGGGAGGCGACCCAGCGATCAGGGGAAGGCAATGTCTCCATCACACTTCTGCGGAAGGCAATGTCTCCATCACACTTCTGCTGCTACCACTGCCGGCAGCTTAAGCCTCGGCTGGCCCTGGGAGGCTGGGCAGCCGACATCAGAGGCTTGCCTGCACCTTGGGCGTCACATCCGAGACTTGCCTGCACCTCAGGCTGGCCCTAGGTGGCTGGGCAGCTGCCATCTGAAAAACCCCGAAACCTGCGCCTCAGGCTGGCCCTGGGGGGCTGGGGGGCTGAGGGCGGGTCCAGCCACAAAATGCGCCTGCCACCCCTCCCCCCCCAGTTGGGCTGAAAAGACTGGGGGACTCCAGCGGGCCTCAGGGGACTGGGCGCTGCCATATTTGTGACGGTGTGACGGTCAATTTGCATATCCCCTCTTTATTAGATAGGATATGTTGTGCTAAGATTTCCTCCCAATCTATGGTTTGGCTTTTCATTCTGTTAGCACTGCCTTTTGCAGAGCAGAAATTTTAAATTCATTTAAAAAATGTATTCATTTCATGGAGACTACTTTTGGTGTTGTATCTAAAAAGTCACCACCAAATCCAAAGCCATCTAGATTTTCTCCTGTTATATTCTAGGAATTTTATCACTTTGCATTTTACATTTAGGCTATGAGCCATATTGAGTTAATTTTTGTTAATTAAATTCAAACATGCTCACCAAAATTTTAAAAAGTTATATTTAATTTAAAAGCATGGTTTTGTATTAATATGTAATTTATGTATTATTGAGATTTTAAAATAAATTAATAACTAAACATTTTTAATTTCTTAGTTTGTTGGGGTCCAACCCCAACGGGTCCAGGGATCCCCAAAGGTGTGGACGGAGTCGGCGAAGAATGAATGACATGGAAACTGGGTTCAGTTCATCAGCATAGCGAGGTTCTCCCTCCAGGATCTCCAGCGAAGTTCTGGTCAGGATCTCCAGCGAAGTTCTGGTCAGGATCTCCAGCGAAGTTCTGGTCAGGATCTCCAACCAAGTTCTGGTGCCATGTTCTCTCGCTAGGTTCTCCAGCCAGGTTCTCCAGGTTCTCCAGCCAGGTTCAGTCACCAGGTTCTTTTGCCATGTTCTGTCTAGGTTCTCCAGTGAAGTTCTGGAGCCAGGTTCTGTCCAGGATCTTTTGCCATGTTCTCTGGCTAGGTTCTGTCTCTAGGTTCTGTCTAGGATCTCCAGCCAAGTCCTGTCTCTAGGTTCTGTGTCCTGTTGTCTTGTTACATCTGTATTTATACCAGTTGATTTTAATCCTGTCAATTTCTATTCCAAAGGTTAGGGTGTTTCTTATCTCCATTCCAGGGAGTAAAGATTATGTAGCTTAAGTGTGATTGTTTGTAGTTAAAGTGATTACCTACTCGCCTGGCACTTAGTTAAGGGGTTTTATCCCTTCCCTAACTTCAGGGAAAAATCCCTACCTGGGGAAACAACCTTTCTCAGAGAGGTGACCTTGGTTAAAACACATAGCTAAGGGGAGCAAACATATTAAGAACAGTATGCTATATACGCCAGGTCCCTTGAAACATATGCTGTGCAGATGTTTCTTTCCTGCAGCGACTGTGTCAAGCAGCAAGGATGGACCGGCTCCTGGCATTAGTTTTCATTTCTATGGTCAAAATTGTTTTCAGTGATGATCATCTGATAATTCTAGTAGGTCCCCATTTAATTTTTTTTGAAAGCTAAGAACAAGGAACTACCCGAGTTGTAAAAGGCCATTCTCATTCTTAATATCAGCACTAATATTTGAAATTCTTCTTTTATTGTGTGTCCTGGAGGTTTTCTATGACAGAGCAGTTTTCCACAGTGAGGTCAGGGATAGATGAGACATAGGTCTTTCTGTGCAAGGTGGGAGAAGAGTGACAAGGAAGGGAGAAGAAGAAAAGAACAGGTTCTCAGGTGGATCTGTCTTAGGAAAGTATGTATTTGGGAATTAGTACTGGAAATTGCACCCTTAAAATCATCTGTGCTTGTAGCCTTTGGAAAGTCTT